TGCCTCTGCAAATTCCAAATGGCCATTTTAATTTCAGTGAGATTGCAAAAGATGGTAAGAAATTAAACTTCTGCCTTTTGTGGAGCTAACTGGTTCCTGGGAAACAGAAAAGGAGAAATATGAGGTGAGATCTAAGACTGATGTCAACCTGGAGACTCCAGGTATTTCATAAGCATGAAACTGAGGATACAACCATGGATGTATCAGAAACAAGACTTACATATTTTTAAAAGTCTCTTTCAACAAGGCACTTGTGTCAAGCTCCACTATCCCTCCATGACTTTATGCAGTGTCCAGCATTTGCTGTTGTGTGTTCTTCTCTTTCTTTCACCTTTTCCTCTCTGTTTTTAAATCTTAATGCTTTCTTTCTGTTACTCTAGAAAGCAAAAGTAAGTGGTTTTCAAAAATGCCATGTTTGTCACAAATGCAAATTTTTGGATGCACAAGTTAGGACAATAGGACTCCAACTGGCTGCTTGAAAGAGGAAGGATTAGGTCCTCTGTCATGTTAATAGTGACATCAACAACCTGAATAAAAGCCAAAAATTCAAGTTGATTCTGCAGTTTAAGACCATTGTCCTCCCATATGGTTTAGCCTGTAAGATTTAGTCTATACATAGAGTTTTGCCAGGATTTACGTAATTTTTCACATCATACAGTGCAATTCTTGGTATCTTAATGTACTTTTATGTATAAAAGCCCTTTGTAATTGACAAAGATTTATACTGATATAGCAAAAATATTCTACAATCTAAAGGTATCAGAGCTGTTAGAAATACATATGCAAAATGATGGCTGCTAATATTGTTCTGCTCTTCTTATTTTGGAGCCCATTATAAAAAAAAAAAAAAAGTGAAACCTGCTAATAATATGCTAATAATAATATTAAAGGAGCAGTAGCCCTGGACTTTGTCTCTGGATAAGCAAAACTGAGGCAAGAATATGGGATATTCCAGACGGTTTGTTCCTGGCCTGACCCTTCCTGGTCCTGATGAGACTCCCGGGCCTTTCTTCATTCCATACTCTGAGCCTGGTTCCTATTTCATATAGCTGCAGTAATATGGTACATTTGTTGTTTGGTAACAGGAGTTCTCCCAAGTGTCCAAGGCAGAGAAACTTAATTCTTGACACAGGTCCACAAAACTAACATTTCTCTCTAGCTTTTTATTTTTTTTTTTTTTTAACCTGGCAAATTATGGTATTAGAACCACAGTCACGTACCAAACATGACAGTTAAGTGACTGGGGAATCGTAAATTGGGCGTTTTGACTTGAACAAATACTAAGCATTGTCATACCAAACTGATTATTATTTTAAAATACTGTCCCAGGCTATAACTGGCTTTGTGTACAATAGCAATACAGGGTGTAGTTACAGACACAATTTCCTGTGCTTAGGTTTTGAAATTATTATTTAAGATCCCTGTAACATTTGCCTGGTGCACCAGCGCAATTCCCCTATTAGATAATTTTCTATCCTTGTGAGGGCAATTTTGCTTGCGCAATGCTGCCAGAGCTTTCAGGAAGGGAGAGACAAGCAATTGCGACAATAAAATTTGCATCAGCTCCCACCCAACCTCTCCCAGAACCGAAATACCATTTGTCGCATTCAAAGCCTTTTCACACCAGAAGGGAAGGTGTTTCTGTACTGGAAAGTCATTGTGATCTCCACAGGGTTGCATCCTCCAGGCTTTTGCCTCTCAGGTTCCCATGAGAAACACCAAACAGCAACTGTGGAGTTCCAAATGGCTTTGTATCAAAGCCTTGGTGGATTGCATGACCCAGCATCCAGACGTGAAACCCCAAATCAACACAGATTAGGTCATGGGGTTCAAAAGCTGAAGCAGAAATTTTGCTGTTTGTAGCTGGTGAGTTTGAGGGGGTTGACCCTTGTGAAAGCATTGTAAATGTGCCCTTGTAAAAACCATTTCAGATCTAACAATATCACCAGATTCTAGAAAGTGCTAAGCCTGCCCCAATATACTCATGTAGCAGCACCTCTCCCAGAATGATTGTTTTTCAAGGGCTGAAAAGAATGTATTCTTCCTGTGTTCGAACAGGACAAAGGGTGCAGGGGAAGAGATGATAGTAATGAAAATGTCTGTAATATGTAGATCTGCAGAAAGGAAAAACATAGACTGTGAGACTTGTGTTGGATGTCATCACTGGTGATTCAGAAGAGACGTTACTACTACTTCAGATTGTCTCAAAATCAGTGCACACAAATCAATGTGGAGAAGTCGGTGCCAGTTTCTAAGGCCATGTGGCAATTTGGTGCTGAAACATGTGAAAGCATCTTCAACAGTGTGAGGTCTCTGACTAAACCGCTCACAACCTCTGCCTTGTTCCTGCAGGGCACCAGGACCAGGCGATGGGATTCTTCCCCATAAGGTTATTATTTTGCTTCTCTGAATAAAGGACAAACAAGAGCAAATTCCTATGCAGACTTTCACTCAGTGCTTGATATGAAGATTCTTGTGCATGTATCTTGTCTCACTAGGATACAGCTGATACTACTGAGCTCAGCAGTGTGTGCTATGGCAGCCCCATATTACCTAGAGGCCTCTCAACCTGTCAGTTAGCTGGTATTATGGACACCATGTTGTATCTGAAGCTTTTCTATGCTAGGAGATCATGCCTAGGGTCATTGCAATGCTGTCTGTCACTGCTTACATGCTACTTAAGGCCTAGATGCCCCACAGTTAGCAAGGCAGAGGGTGGTACAGGCACTCTGCTCTGTCCTTGTATGTGCAGTGCAAATATAAAAGAGAGCAAAGATAATGGAAAGGAAATCTCCTCTAGTAGTATCAGAGAGACTCTTACTCCCTCTTATTTACCCTTCCTGAAAAAACTGCTTCCAAAACCCCACTGCCTGTTCCAGAGTTTGGCCTTTTCTTTTGACTTGGAGCAGAGCCTCACCTTGTACCTCTACTTTCCTTCCACGTGCAAGCTCGCCTGTGTCCCAGCAATGGCAAAGGGAGGACCCATGTATGGGAAAGACTTCTGAAGAGGGCAACAGGCTGTTTCTGCTCTGGGTTCAGCCTGGGAATCATGGCGCTGAGCTGCTACACGTGTAGAAGAAATCACTGCATCTCTACAGCCCCTGCAATTCTCTCCTTGGCAGCCTGCAAAATTCCACTGAATAAAAAGAAATGGGGAGGGGGAAGAAGGAGTCAGAAAAACTATTGTGTTCCCAGGGGAAAAAAAATAAACAGCCCTATTTAGCTTATCCAGCTTTGCTAATGTCAATCACTTTTCTCATTTTAAACAGGAAAGACACCACTTTAGTCCACCTGTTCCATTATTTATCATGCTATGCATTTCCCGTGAATTGTCACTCATGCAAAACCTGTACATCGTAAGGGGACACCCTAATATTTTTAATGACCTTAAGCAAAGTGATTGACACTAGACACCAGTGTCAGATGTTCTGGTGACGCAACATGTTCTCCTAGCAGCAGGAAAGCTTCCTGCTGTGATTAAGTTAGGGCTATGGAAGTGCTAAAATGTGTTGTCAGCTTTCCTCTGATGCAAGTGATTTTATTATAGCGTCTGGTAACCACGGAGTGTGGCAACGCAAATACTGACTCCAAACATCCCCTCCTGTACATATAGCTTGCTCTATTTAAAACATGAAGTACACTTTGTAAATCCAGGGATAAGTTATGGATGTAACAAGCTTAAACCATGGAAGGCAGAGGAAAAGGTGGCACCTAAACCAGAATGCCCGGGTGATTTCAGCAGGAGTAGCGCAGGGCTCCGGGATGGCCTGCAGAAGGGAATCCCCTGCGGCCCCTGTTCGGCAGGCGTGCTCTGCAGCTGCATCGCCACAGCCGTCCTGGGTGCCAGACACTCCGGAGGGCAAAGAGGAGACATTCTAGCAAAGGCCTCGCTCACTGCAGCAGTGGAAAGCAAAAATCACATCCAGCTGGTTTGAGTCTGGAGAAAGTAAGGGAAGGGGGCGAAAAAGAAAAAGAAAAAAGAAAAAAGAAAAAAGAAAAAGAAAAAGAAAAAGAAAAAGAAAAAGAAAAAGAAAAAGAAAAAGAAAAAGAAAAAGAAAAAGAAAAAGAAAAAGAAAAAGAAAAAGAAAAAAGAAAAAAAAGAAAAAAGAAAAAAGAAAAGAAAAAGAAAAAGAAAAAGAAAAAGAAAAAGAAAAAGAAAAAGAAAAAGAAAAAGAAAAAGAAAAAGAAAAAGAAAAAGAAAAAGAAAAAGAAAAAGAAAAAGAAAAAGAAAAAGAAAAAGAAAAAGAAAAAGAAAAAGAAAAAGAAAAAGAAAAAGAAAAAGAAAAAGAAAAAGAAAAAGAAAAAGAAAAAGAAAAAGAAAAAGAAAAAGAAAAAGAGGTCTCCATGCAGCCCCTCTGCCTTTTGACACCCTCATACACTCTGGGTTGCAAGTCTGTGACTTGGCTCAGCACCACTTGTCCTTAAAGATATAGATGAAGAAATAATGTTCTGGTTTGCTTCAATTTAGGACCAGCCTCTCAATTATTCATTACCTGAGAAAAGGTAGAAGACATCTAGAACACAAGAGTTACAGAAGTAAACATCTCAGACACACAAGGGACATCTGGTATCTGCTTCTCGTAAAGTTTCGTTATTCCCAAAGCTCATTCAGCAAACTCTTTCTACACAGATGACTTTGCTTCTACAAGCAATTATTAATAGTTGTGTCTTAAATTGACTATGCCAGTGAGTTTCTGCAGAACTGGCCATTATGATTTTTCAATAGCTGAGTTGTTAATCAAGCTGCAAGAAGGATGGGCTATCAAACCAAAATCCATAGTCTACAGAGATTTTTGGAAGAGATCAGCAGTACATATGTTCACAGTTATCACAGGTGGTGTTCTACAAAAATAGAATCGTAAAACAGTCAAAGTTGAAGACACAAGCTATCTTGAGAGCAATAAAAAAAGATTTTTTTTCTAAAGGTCTAGCAGCACGGAATATTATTTTAATGAAATTTACTTTTTAATTTTATAGCAAAATAATCAAAAGTGCTAAACTTGACCACTTTAATTTACAAAAAAATCTCATGTTTTAAGCTATAATCATACCTCATTATTTAGGTTAGACAATATAATTACATATTTCTACCTATTCCTATTCAATAGTAAAACAAAATTAATATTAGTTGGTTTAAAAAAGGGGGAAAGTACCACAGATATTGGGAGGGGAAAGTTACATAAAATATAGTAATCAGCTTATTGAGCAATCTGCAAGGTGTTTGGTTGCTTTTTGGTTTGTTTTTTTTTGAGCTACAATTTAAGTCACAGACCACCTGGCCTTATGCTTGTAGTCACTTCAAATGCTAGGAGATCTCTGGCATTTCAAGTCAGTTCCAATTATTTTCTTAGTTCTCACAAGTTCCCTTTCCAACATGATCAGCATGTTGGAGAATGCAGTTATGATGATTGCAGTTACGATGATTACACTTATGACGACACTGTTTTCCGTGAAGGAAAAGTGGTTTTTCCTCCTTCCTGGGAAGAATCACTATCAAGTCTGTAGTAAGGAAAACATTAAGAGCACTTGTAGAGTTTTTAAGAGTATTTCTTAATCCATTCCATTTTCATTTCAGTTTATTTCCAAAGTTAAATTAAAACTTGCAATCTCTCCTACTGATAAATAGTCAAGTTGACTTACAAAGGTTCTGTCTTCTGTCCAGCCTTCTCTTGGTTGTCTTTAACCAAACAAGGTTCGCTGATTTGCCACTAGCGCTGTCTGGCTCTCCCGCCTCTTTGCTTTCTTGTTTTGCTGCCTGATTTTCCAGCACACTGCACTAGAAGCCAGCAAAAGGAGTCCTGATGACAAGAGGACTAATCCAAACACCGAGATGATCGATCCATGGGAATTGAAGATGTATGCCACAGCAGTAACCACGATGCCAGCAATGAGGATAACCACACCAAAGGGTATGGTACAGCGGTAACAGGAGAGTTCCGCTCCCCCTGTTGCCGCAGTCAGCTGGCATTCACTTACAAGAGGGATGGTGGTTATCACACAGTCATTGTTGTTACTCTTCTCCGTGGTTACAGAATCAGGATGCTTTGGGGCGCCCAGGATCTCTTTAATAGGTTCGTTTGTCATCTTGATTGTCTTGACTTCGTCAATTCTTAGGCTAGAGCAGGCTCTGCTGAACACACATTGCACTGTGGAGAGAAGAGCATGAGTTCAATTAAGAAGCGTTACAGTTATATGACAAGTGGATGACACAGAAGTATCCCATTCGGGATCACAAACATGCAGACACTCTGACTCCCCAGGGATTTATGCACAAGGTTAATTGTAACACTACTGATTGTGGAGGATCTGAATCAATTCTTATGGTAGTCACCAGCATCTGCATAAGTGCTAGAAAGAACAGAGTCACAGACCAACACAGACACCAACCTTAAAGTGTTGGGGGCCAAATCCCACTTTAGGTTACATCCTAAAGTCAGCATTTCTGGATGTAATTTAGATTTCAATGGCATTACATCCTCCGAGAAGAAAGTGCAGTTCACAGGCTGTTTTGGTTAAAAATTCCACTCCTGCTTATACACATTTTCACACTTTTGTCTTAATATATACACCTATATGCACACATTACACAGATTTGCTTCAATGCACATCACAATAACATGGGCAAGAACTGACCCAGCAAAAAACAGGACTAAACAGTGAGCCCTTTCTCAATGCAAGTGCTACCCAGTGAAAAAATTAAAGTGGTCATGACTCGGTACGGATGTGGGGGGAATGAGGATGAAGACAGTTCCCTGCACTCGGCAAACACCAGCTGAAAGCTGGTGAACCTACTGTTACAGCAATATCAGTGCCAGACTGTCGGCTTGTCATTTAAATTGGCTTAATGCAAAAGTAACGGGTGCCTTATAAGTACATGAAACCACATCCATGTTGCTGTGTAGGAGGGAGATTTACAGTCATATTCACTCATCTTAGTTACAGTAGGTTGCTTTTCTCCTGTCTCCATACTGTATATACACCCTCAGTCCTACAGACAGCATGCACAGTTTGATTGCATCTGCATTATGAGGCAAAATAGCTCTTGCCTCCATGAGCCCAATGCATAACTGGAGTCCACCTGAGTGGAGCAAGACAAGCCCATGGCTCTCCACTGCTACAGGCTGCCGTGACAGACCTTGGCCGTCTCACTGCGACTCTGGTGGTGGGGGACCATCCTGGGGTCTGCACTGAGCCTCTGACAATGCTGAGGCTACCACGGCTGTGCTGCCTTGGACCAGGCTGTGTGCTCAGGGCACCCCACCACATACAACAGAGACTGGGACACTGGGGAGCCACTGGGTTTTCCTCCTGTGAGTAGCTCACAGGACTCCACCACTTTCCGGCATGGGCTGTGTAGCTTTTGCTCTTATGAGCAGCATAATATGCAGCTCAGAGAACAAGGAAGAGCGTTGGCAATGCAGTAATGCTTTTATCACTTTTATCACCTTCACATCTGTGACTAGGAAGTTAATTGCCAGATACTTGCATTCTCCTTTTCCTTTCCCACCACTCCCACCCTTGTTGCTAAGATATATTCGTCCATTGTGGAGAGCCCTTGGTTTTGTATCTCAGTACCTCATATAAATGACTGCGCTTTGAGAGAAAGAGGATTTCACTATTTTTAAACACACACACACATAAAGAGGCTATACCCTCTATCTAGTCAGACAGTTTCTATCTGAGTTTCCTTGAACCCTAATGAGAGAAGGAAAGTTCAGATCTGGTTTGACAAAAATTTTGTTAAGAAAGAGTGCTCAGCTCAGTATTGTATCTTGCTGTACAGAGCTATCTTCAGGGCTCAATCCTGCAAGGGGCTCAGCAGCTACCAGACAGAGTAGCCTTTCCCTCCCTAATGACAATGCTGAGCACAACACAACTGGGCGCACACTGAGCACACACACTGACAACGCAAGTGGCAATGGGCACAAACTGAAATACACAATGTTCTCTCTGAACATCAGAAAACAGTTTTTTACTGTGAGGGTGCCTGAGCACTGGAACAGGTTGCCCAAGGAGGTTTTGGAGTCTCCATCCTTGGAGATATTCAAAAGCCATCTGGACATAGTGCTGGGCAGCCTTCTTTAGGGGACCCTGCTTGAGAGGGACAGGGGGTGGCCCAGATGACCCCCAGAGGTCCCTTCCAACCACAACCATTCTGTGATTCTGTGAATTTCTGCAAAGGTACTTGGTATCTCCAAGGGCAGGAAAGGAATCTGACTGGGGCGTATCAGATACAGCAAATATATCTGTGCTGACACCTTAGATATCCTAGTTCTGTCGCTTTGTCCTTTGAATCATAAAACATGATTAAGCACCTTTTATACCAGTTGAAAGAGCCCAAGAAAGTCATCAGGTTTCTCTAGAGTGCCATCAATCTGTCCCCATATGGATCTGAGCCCAAGTTGTGCATTTTCAATAATAACTGAATTGGCAGTGAGACTCACACTGGTGCCGTTATGTTGCTGTATTACTTATCCATAAAGCATTACAAAAGTTCAGCACAATGGGAAAACGTGGCCCCCACCTTTTTTTTGATCATCTTTTTTTGATCCTAACATTAGCCATATACAATTTGTTCAATATTTTATTACTAAATTTGAGGGAGGAAAAAAAATAATTTTCCATATAAAAGATCTCATAGTTCCAAATACATTGTAACAAATATTCAGAAGTCCAAATACTCTCGCTAACAGTCACATAAATAGGGAAACTTCCCAATAACTTGAAAAGGCTTTGGATTGGGCTCATAATAAACATGATTATTCTGAAAAACTTTAACATTCAAAGTATATTTACTCCTGTCTTCAGAGTCCTTGTCCCTCTGCTTCAGATACAACCCCAGTGAGCATTAAATCTCTTAGACATCTTTTACAGAGATTTATGAAGAAAGAAGATACGTTTATACAGTCAAAACTAACATGATTTTAAAAAAATCTCCTAAACTACCAAAATTAAGTCATTGGCAAAATACCTGTTGACTTCTGAGGAGCACAGTTCTTGCTTGTAATAAGATCTAAGCAGACAGGCATTCATATAAAACAAATAAACAAATCTCTATTGAAATACTGTAAGTTAAATAAACAACAGAACCTATTTGAAGTGTGAGTAAAAGTATTCAGCCCTAGAAAATAGGGCTCTAGATCCTCATTGCCAGCAAAGTCACTTCTGACTTACGCCAACAGGTGACTTGGCTCAAGTTTCAGGGTAAGAAATTTAGGCAAAGATACCCAGCAACGCCAGCATCCTCTCACTATTCATACTAGAAGTACTGTCTTAAGGAGCTACTTTGACTCGGAGGAAGAGCGTACCTGTGGCTAACACTGGATAAAGGGGAGAGGAATATTTTAGCCACTAAGTGTAAGTTGAGATTTACTGAAAAAACAAGAAATCCATCAGCATGCACACCTACCAGGTCCATGAGAAATCCATTGTAACAAACCCCTTGGCTCAGGAAGCAGAGAAAGACTCCTTAAGATGTCTCGTATGTCAATTCAAGGCAGAGTTATGCAGCAGTAAGAGACGCTCCAGGCTTTGAAGTGTCAAGATGTTGCTGAATGATGAACTGGAGGTGACAATATTCTAGCATGGAAGTTTCCTACAAGAAAAGTTGTTGGATATTTATCAGCTTCTTAAGAAAAAAACTCCTGCATGGAAAAGCTCCTGCTGTATGCTGACTTCTGCCCCTAACCTAGCCAGAGCAGGAGATGTTCTTCCTCTGGCTCTCCTAGTGGTTTCTGCCTCTTTCCTTGGCAGCAGCCACCCATTTCTGGCCCTATGTAACATTTTCCTTTGATGTGACATCTTGATGATCAGTGTCACAACACAGGCAAGTCCCCCAGAAAGAGCTAGGCAGCAAAAGGTAATGCATATGAATTTCTGTAGTTAAAAACCTCATTTAACTTAATTTCCATTGCTCACTTCACCTACATGAATCACGACTCAGAATACTTGGGTATTTGCCTCTTCTATGTCTCCAGTTTCTTTGAGCAAACCACTTTATCTCCCTGTGCCTTGGTTTTCCTAGCTGTAAACTGACAGTGACAGCATGCTTCCCACTAAAACCCCATTTAAAATCTACTCTACCATAATAAAACCTAAGTAATATAATCCTGAAAACTCCTCTCAGGAAAAAAAAAAAAAAAAAAAGGCAAACAAACCAAGTCCAAGAACTCACTGTAGTAAACATAAATCCATATATTTACTATTGTACATTTCTGTTATCAGATTTTTTTAAAACAAGAATCATAACTCAAATAGGGACAAGGCAGAATCTGCAGCAGAGCAGTGTGACAACTCTGCAGAAAGCAGAGCGATGGAAATTGTTATCAACTGCAGAAACAGCTGTGAAATCACCAAGCAGCTGGGTAAAACTTATGAAGATTTATGTTGCTAAACTTATTCAACATTCCCTTTCTATATGTGTGTGATTACGGAAGATCATTTTGACACTGACGCAGGAGTCCTAAGTAGGGATGAAAATGTTAATAAGTTCATATAACGATAAACTTAAAGGGCCTAAGTTATTTAGACCATGCTAACATTTCACAAACACAAACATTTACAGGCACAAACTGCTGCTGTTCTTCTTTAGATGATCCTTGGAATAAGCCTGTGACATGGCTAAAGTATATTTAGCCAATTATTGAAGTTAGCTAATAATAAAGAAGTCTACTTGCTTATCTCCTCGACTATATTCCTGTGCACACTACCTAGCAATTAGTTTAACTTCACCAAAAGTTTGATGGGAAATACAGAAAAAAAACACACCTTAGATAAATAATCTAGATGATTGCATTAAAACAAAAGCAGACCTCTGAAATTATCTTGCAGTCAACTTCCACTCATATTAAAAGAATGGTTACATTTGTTTGAAAGGCTCTTCCTAGTGCAATTGTGCCCCCTAAACCACTCTGCTAGCATCATTTTTTGAAAAGATTAACTGCTCTGTCAGTAATTTATTTGTATTTGTCCTTGACTACGTACAGTTTAGGTAATTTTTTAAAATTAATGTCTTTATCAAAAAACCTAGATGACAGAGCAACTTCTTATAGACAGGATTTCTTCCCTCCTCCTTCTCTCCCTTACCACAAAGCTGAGAAGAAGAAACACATTGAAATCTATACATTAAGCTTCTTATATTTTAACTCTCAATCATTTCAATGTGGTGTAATCTCAGGAGGCTTCCCACATACTGAATATCTCTGTGCAAGTGCAGAGAGCTGGTATATCTCAGTCACTACAATCCTTTCCCCTTTTTTGCATTTCACTCGTATCCAGTGGGACACATTTAAGTTTTCCGCCTCCGAGCTCTGGACCCAATTGTCTGCATCTTGCACAGTATACACCTTTTTTTTTGCTTATGCAAAATTCAATAAATCATAATGCTCATGCTTCACACTTGGTTTTGCATTAAAGTGACTATGGAAAAGAGCATAAGGAGTCCTTCTGTACTGAGAATAGAGACAGAGTTGATTTGAAATTCAACAGAATATAGTAATCCTGAACACAACCCCACAGCTCTTCCCCATGTGAACATTCCTGGAAATATAGAACTAGAATTTGTACTTACAAGACTCCAGGATCAGGCCCTGAACTACAGGGGTAGGAGAAGACATTTCAGATATTACACCCATGCCAACTGTCTGAGCCTCGGGATGCCGATAAATTTCCACCACCAAGTTTTTAGGTAGTACAATTACCAGATTCAAGCTCTCACACCTTTTTCGGTTTTGTCCAGATGTAGCTGGAGGATAGGACAGGAGCCAACCAAACACCTCCACAAACAAACGTTGTTATCTGCAAACTGCAAAACTTTCAAACTGTCTGTAAAACGCCACGCGCACTTAGGGTAAAGCACTGCGTGTCACGCCTGTCCCCGAACACCTACAGAAGAGAGAAGAGACGCGAACGGCAAGGCGAGCTTTATGCACGCTCGCTGCGATGCAGCTCGGCAGTACCGAGAAGGCACAACTCCGCGGGGGCACCCGCCGTCCCGCAAGGCAGGGAGCAGCTCCGGTTGCGGAGACCCCGCGGCTTTTAATTGTAATTCATCGCCTGGGAAAAGCCAGCCGGGGCGAGCGGTGCTGGGAACCGCCCGAGGACCCGCCGGCCGCAGCGGAGCGGAGCGGCTCCCTGCCCTGCCCGAGCAGCCGCAGCCCGGCCCGGCGGCGCGGGGAGCCGGGCCCCGGGCGCTGCGGCGGCTGCAGCGGCCCCGGAGCCCCGCGGGCACCGAAAGCCGGCGGGCGTGCGGGTCCTGCGGCTGCGAGCCGAACCGTGCCAGAGCATGCGATAGCACGGCGTGCCGTGCCGTGCCGTGCCGTGCCGTGCCGTGCCTTACCTCCCGACCGCCGGGCGGGACTGCGGCGGACACTAGCCCGGAGCAAGACTAAGAGGGGGATGCAGCTCGCTGCACAAGGGACTGTAAACAAAGTTCTTGGTGAGCGCGAAACAATTAAGGGACCGGAGCAAATTCAGCGGCGGGAGCTGCCGCGGGCGGGGCGGCACTCACCGGGGAAGGTCCCGCTGCGGTGGGGAGGGCGGCGGGGAGGAAGGCTGTCCTTCGGGGGCCCGGATGGGCCGGCCAGGGCAGGGCAGCCTCCTTGCTCGCCCAGCCCTCCGCGGTTTCGCTTGGCCGGGCCGGCGGTGCTGGCGCGGCACGGTTCACACGCCCGTTTGAGAGATGCGCACGGTCGAGACTCGTGTGTCTCCCGCTTCGCCAGGTCACGCGTCGTGGCAAGGCTCTGCATCACGCCCTGCCCGTGTCAGGTTAACCACGGGGCCTGGGAGAGTGTTTTCCAGCCCTCTCTGCCCCGCTGCACACCGCCATGCAGGGTGTCTGGCCCCATCGATGTTAACAGATCACGAGTCAGCCAGCGCAGACCGAGGGCTCTGCCTGTCCCGGGCCCTTCTGGGGTGTCAGAAGTGGCTGCGCTGGGGTGTGCTGCGAAAGCACAGTCCGTGCTGAAATCCAGATGAACTCCTAGCTGGTGTTTAACTGCTCAGGAATTAAATGAGGAGGAACACAGTTTTGGATGACGCCCTTAGAGGATAAAGGTTTATGTATCATCTAGAGATACTTTAACTGGCTTTTCTATGCTTTAATCATTTCAGCAGAACATCAAATACTACAGGGGTTTGGAGTGGATGTGTTATTTGTTACCATCATTTCTGTTCTTTTCAGACAAAAAGCAGACAAACTTTGCTTTTAAGGCTTGTAAAAGGACATGTTTGAATTTTGCGGTTAAGCTTACACAAAGTTTATATTTAAAAGGCACTATTTTATCAATGATTGATAAAAGAGCAGCACACCAGATGTACTTAATCAGCCACTCTGTCTCTGAAAGCATGCATGTACTTTTGACTCCCTTTCCAGGGTGAAATCCTGGCCCCACAGAAATTAATAGCAAAACTTCCATCAACTTCACAGGGGCCAGGGTTTCACCCTGTGCATCATTAAGAACTCCCCAGTGATGAAGATCCTGCCAAGGGTTCATCTCCTCCAGCTGAATCAGCCAGGGGGCTCTGGAAAAGCTCCACAGCTTTGTACAAGAAACTGGCATTTTTTTCCCCATTTTCTAGTGTTCTCTCCAAATGCATCAGCATTTTGGCAGAAATGACAAGCAAAGTGGATTTGAGTGGAACTGTGATTAGAGGGGATCTCTCGGGCCATTAAGTCCAGCCCTTCCTAACACAGGCAGCCCTGCCAGGTAATATCTGTATTAAACATGATGAGTTCCACCTCAAACCAACTGGGTTTCCTCCTCCTCCAGTTGGATGGCTATGAGTCTTACTCTGCTGATATCTAAGAACCTCAATCTTGTTTCTAGCTGCATGTATTCACAGGCAATTGTACATGGATAAAGAAGTCTTTGGCTGAATTAGATCTTATTTCTTTTGGCAATTAACCCTCTAATGTCCTAAGAGGTAGAAATCAGATTCTCTGAGTCTTATTTTCGATCATAATTTTTTCAGGTGTGGTTTTACCAGTATTCTGCATGGAAGTGCAAGTATTTTCCTGTCTGCCAGAAATACTAACATTTCATAATCACCCTCTGATTGTTCAGTAATTCTGGATTTTTCTCCAGTATCAGTTCCATTTATTAGTTCATATCAGAAATTCTTGCTGTTAGCACATATGTACATGACCTAAATTTCACCCCATTCCTATTACATCAATTCCTCTCTAGTCCTTCCAGTGTAGTATTTGGTCCTCCTATGTTGATAGAGAACCTCCCTTCCATGCTTACACCATCAACAGTTCCCCTAGTACATTCTTACTTTTCTATGCCAAGTTTATTACTGAAAGTATTACACAAAATACTGAAAATATTACATAAAATAACTCTTAATACTGATTTTTGAGGAACTAATCTGAAGTGCACATAAACAAGCATTGAAGCTGGGCTTAGAATTCACTTGTTTCTGTACAAATAAATGCCCTAACAATAGGCTAGAATGTCACGCTCTTTTCTAGACCCAGTGCAATTGTAACTCCTTTTTGTGAAGCAGAAAAGTTTCGATGAAAAGTGATGGGAATGACGTCTCCCTGGAGTGCTGAGAGATTAGTGGGTTCTCCCATAGAAGGGTGGGTTTGTAGCTCTCAGGCACATCAGAGTCAAATACAATTTGGACACCACCCCCCTGGCATTTTAAAAAAAACGGGATGACTGTCTACCTCTGCCTTTTAAGGTACTACTGTGATCTGAGCACGACTCTCCAAGGATATAAGGAAAGAAGTACCGAACATACCCGAAGCAGTGTGTTTGGCACCTGTAGAAATTCAGTGCAAACAGCTGCAGAAACTTCAGGACTGAGTAACAGCTGCAGTGAGGGGTTACAGGTTCACAATTTTGGACTGCCATGCTGAAATACATAGTTCCCCTTTAGGACCTGTTCTAAATGACAAAATCTCCTCCCTGTGGCCTTAACACAGCTGCTTTGGAGGAGGTGCAGCCCCATCAGCTGGGACAATAAGCAAAAAGCCTGTGTGATATTGGAATTCATGCAGCCTATTGAGAGAGCAGTTTTACTCCTAAATTGAGCAATGCTGTTGCTCTGCCTACTAAGACACACTTGCAATACTTCATGGCTTCCTTTGAGTTTCTAACAGTCTCCT